ATAACTCATAGTATTAATTTGCGGGGACTGGAGTAATTTATTAAAGGAGAGTTATAGGAAGTTGGTAAGTTAGATGAGGAGTAGGTTGGCAGAGGTAATCAAGTGAAAAGAATACCTATCAAAGTACTCATTGTGTCGTACCTTATTACATTTTCTTCACTTTCGCTTTTTTCACTTATCGCATAAAATTTAAAGTTCTGAAGGGATCGTTGATATCCTAATTTTTCCCGTTTTAGTCTATGCTAATTTTATTTGAAAATGTATTGTTTACTTTTTAAATAACTTTTAAGAATGTAGTTTCAAAAACTAGTAGAAAGCGTAAGGAAAAAAGGATTAAAAAGGCTATTTTTTATAATGAATTGGCCAGTAAAGATTTTTCCTTTCTTGGTGTTGAACTTATAGCCACCATTGTTTGTTTATAAATGAATGTATTTTTATGTTTATTCGCTTATTTGTGTTAATGTATTATATATATATATGTATACGTTTTGTATAAAATTTGAATTTTTTTATGAGGCTGTGGTTTTTTTCTATCCTGAAAATTTTGTTACTTTGTATGACCTTGTCAGAGAGTAGATGGTGGTAAAAACTGCGAATATTTTGCAAAATATATTGGCTGAAACAACGGATTTTATAACAACAGGAAGGAACCAGGCAAGGTACATATATGTTTTCTATTAATTTTGTCATTTTTATTGTTTGTGGCAGCAGCGACGAATAGCAGCAGTGATAGCACGTGGTTTTGTAAAGATGTTATTCGCATCGTTCAAATGCATTTCAGAGGAATTCAGGAACTGTTGTTGAGGTGCAGTAAAAGTAAAAGAAAAGCTTTTCATAAGAGATAGACGGAAACCAGAACGGAGGCATTTGCACAAACTGCTGATGGTACTGCTAAATATGGTCAATGGCGTTTAAACTTATAGTAAAAAAGGCTGAAGCAGTTGGTGTAAAATTCAAAAGGTTATTTGCAGTAAGGTTGTAATAGCAGATATTTAGCATGTGACCAGTACCAATGAGATTATTTTTAGAGGGTTTATCTGTATAGCTGCTAAACTAAAGTTTTGATAATAAAAAAAAAAAGTGGTGTATAAAATTTTATTTTTTTACATGTGACGATACTTTTCTTTTTTAGCTTTATAAATTGTTTTTGTTCAGCCAGTAGATAAATGTTGGACGTTTTCTTTTTCTGGTTGTTAGCAACGTTCAAGAAAATATTTTTTTTCCTTTTTTTACACTAGTCCTGAACTTGATTTTGCTTCATCTTTTTTTTCTTTGTTTTTATTTTTATTTTTTCTATTTTTTATTTTTTTCAATGATTAAAACTGATGTAAGTTGAAAGAGCAATAAAATTAGCAATTACTTTGTGGCAAACAGCTGACAGGGCGTTTAATGTTAACAATCAAAAAATGGAATTTTGTCTAAAATGTAAGGATGTCTTTAGAGTTTCTTTGGTCCAGCTTAAAATTTACTTCTACAGCTATTCAAAAAAAAAA